TACGTATATAATATATATATATATATATATATTTATATATATAAATAATATATAAATATATGTATATATATCGTCAAATAGAACTGCCCGGTAAACCGTAGGCAGAGAGGGAGAAGAGGACAACAAACGAGGGGCTGTGACAAACTGTTTCGTCGGAGTTTCACCGACTCATCAGGAGGCTGAATATATATACATATATAACATATTTATATATATTGTCAAACAGAGCTGGCCGGTAAACCGTAGGCAGAGAGGGAAGAGAGGACAACAAACGAGGGGCTTTGAAAAACTGTTTCGTCGGACTTTCACCGACTCATCAGGAAGGCTGAATATTTTGGCCCGGCCAGGCAAGTGACCCTCGGTGTGCATTAATTTTTGTTCCTGCCGGTGGTGGTGAGCCAGATTATTGCTCCCCGGAACAAAGGGGTGTGTCTTCTCAAACACACACACACACAAAACAAAAGAAAGAATCTGAAGCACCAAATATTTGTAGTGAATGAAATGAAAATGCTCCACGGTTCCCCTCTCCTTTTTTTTTTTTTTAGGGTCCTCCCCTCATAGTTCCTAGAAAATCATCATGTGCATGTACACTTCTGACTGCCTGAGGTTATCTCCCCATCCAAAGTATACACCAACCCTCGGTCGTTGAACAACATCCATATCCCAACTTCACACTGCAAATATTGATAGTGTTAACCGAGCCTGTGGCTGAAACACCAGAGGACTCCCTTCGGTACAGGTCTTGTCACATCATGGGGCCATTCAAAGTACACACTAACCCTTGGTAGGGCTGAACAACACCCATATTCCAACTTAAGCCACCATTCCTTATGACCCTTTCCCTTGCCAAACCTGGAAATGCCCTGTGCAGTGTGCACCCCCCACAAAAAAAGGAGTCCGGACATTTTCCTTTTTCACTGGCGCCGCCAGCCATTTAGCTTCGGTAGGCTGCACCACAAAAAACGTGGCACATTAACCACCATGCATGAGGGAAAAAATGGCTGGGAAATGCACAGATGCCAACATCTACGTTGCACGTTTTCCTCTTTGAGTGGCCTAGAAACCATTTAGCTCCAGTAGGCCACGCCACAAAAGCTGCAGTGCATTAAACCTCTAGTACACGACCCCAGCCTTGCAGTCCAAAAGGCATCGCCACAAAAAAACGAGGCCGAAACATTGAACATTGGGCCTTCCGTTGATAAATTGGATCGTCGGTCGCTTTTTCGTTTTGCACTTCTGGAATTCGAGGTGTCAGGCCCGCCGCCCTGCAATGGCAGGTGGAGCACCGGTGCCCACCAACCAATAACTAGTTGATAGACAGGACCACCCTCGAACAGAGAGGACTCCCCCTCCCCTGGTGCAGACTATGCTCTAGTGCATTCCTATCAAGTAAGAAACCAGAAACAGTAGAACACATCTTTCTACAATGCCCCGAAGCGGTTTGGCTCTGGCAATGGTGGGACAAAGTCTGGGATCAGCTTGGAAAAGGGACACCCTGGCCATGGGACTGAAGGCCTTGTTGTTTGAAAGATGGCCCTTCGAACAGCCTGACGACTTCACTCTCAACATGTTTAAATTGTGACGCAGGGCAGTATTATGGGCACTCTGGAGACGACATTGCACCTATGAAATGGAGGGCGTGAGGTTGGAAGGGCCAGAATTTACGGAGAGTATACAACAACAGATCCATACAAACATAACAGCATGGTGGGAGGAATGGCACAAATCAGACACATTCACACACCGAACAAAATAAAGCAAAGGATACAAGAATTCTGCAAAAGCTGGCTCGGGGGGAAAACAAGGGGGAGGTTAGGAAAGATGGAATGGAAAGGGGAAAAAGGGGGACAAGCCGGGATGCAGGACAACAAGGGAATAACCAGAGACTACAGACTCCTCTTCCAAGACTGCACCAAGTTGGACGACTCAATCCCAATGCGACCTAATGGCAAATTCCCGGATTTTTTCACCCCCCCCAGCTAACAGCCGGGTAGGAATAGCATGGTATGGGGGAGACAGATGAAAAAGGGGATAAGGAATCAAAGGCGCCCCCAAAGCAAGACTGAATAACGAAGGGGGTAGACGACAAGCCTGAGAGTCAAGAGACGGAAGAATGTCTAAGAAAAGTCTCTGGACTGCTAGGATTATAGATATAAACAGGCGGCCCCAAAAAAGGGCTGAAGAGGCAGATTTAGCTCACAACTAAGACCCATAAAGGATGGGGTAATTAGGTGGCATAACACAATGATCTGGAAAATGAGTTCTTTCTGAATGTAAAAAGGGCACTGTACCCGTTTTCCAGCAGGTGCAGCTCCCCACCAATCGAAGGAGCATCTGGAGGCTACTACTAGCAGGGGATGCTCGAATCAACCCCTCTAATATACAGCCAAGGTTTAAAAAAAAAAAAAAAAAAAAAAAAAA